GTACATTTCAAAAAAATTCAAGACGGTTCGGAAAGTCTCGCGGTAACAGTGCCTGTACTCGTTGCAGTTGGTAAAGGTATAAGAGTTGTCCTTTTGAATTCGAAATACCTTCATATGATCAACATTTAGCTGGAGAGCAATCTTTCTAGTACTGGTAGTAGGTTGTTATTCAATCAAATTAAGTACTGCTTCCTCAAGCTGTGGTGTTCGTACTTCTCGATGACGACCACAATCCCGCGTTCTTTTGTAGAATGAACCATATTCTCGTAATCGTTGATGAAGTCGAGCAAATGTTCTACGTGAATGATGCTGCCGTTGATCTTATCTTTTTTTTGATGAGTAATCACCTCCTTAAATATTTTATACTTATTTAGTTACACCCTGTATAAGGTTGTTTCAAAAGTTCCGTTCGATTTCATGAGTTCTTTTTCAAAGGACAAAACACAAGCACTACAGAAAAAAACTCTAATCGCTCTTAAAGCGGTGCTTGTGCGAGTGTAGCGATTCACGTTGGATTTGAATCGCTGGATTTTAAATTCATTTGTAAAAGCGTTATTAGGAAGTTTATCCCACACAAACGCAGTTCTCCAAATGAAAGAGTTCTTAAACTATGAAGTTCGAGGTATACTGAGTTGCTTCCACCAAGTCACTTGAACACCTCCCGTGAAAGAATCGAGAGATGTTCGTGTCTCCAATCAGGCGGATAGCTCTTGCCTGAATGGAATCCAGCAGCTTCAGGATATGCTTGGAGGCGGAGTTGCTGAGGTGTGTACAGGTTTCTGGTTTGGAACAGTATTCCAGGCTTTTGAGAAGCAGCCTTTGCAATTTCAGCAACATGATTGTGCCAAAACATTGGTGTACATTTCAACCCCAAACAAACTTATCGACGCAGAAAGGGGAATTGTCTGTCCTGACATTATTATATAAGGTTCGGAGCCTGGGTTTTTGTAGCATGAATTGAATCTGGTTAGTTTAACCGCAATTTGAAATCACTTCTAGATCCTCATTTCTGACTTCCGGTACCGGTATTTTTTGACGGCACTGGGTTTTGAAGCATTCTTTTTTCATTGCCTCTTTAACAAGAATAGTGCCGTTATGTATAATGTAATCAAGAAGTACCCTGTTTCACGACTTTTGAACTCACCTGTACACTCACCTGTACCGCGGTAAATTGAAGGCATAGTGCCTACAGTTTGTTTCTCGACCAGTACTTCAAGATTATATATGACTCGTGGTGTATAAAATCACCCCCTGAAAATTTGCCTGGGCTTGTGGTCTATTATTATATCCGGTTCGGCGACACTCATCGTTTTAGAGAAAACCGATGCTTAGGTTTCGTGGCATTTAATTGAACCTGATCACTTTCACCCCATACGAAATCACCTCTAGATCCTCAATAAGATAATTAACTTCCTGCTGCCTGTGAAGATGTGCATCCGCAGCCTATATCCTGGAATCCAAATAGAATGACGAGGCAAGTGTGCTGTCGTCAGCAAAGCGTTGATATACAATAAAAACAGGGTTGGAGACGATATGGATCCTTGGGAAACACAGTAATGTCTCAGTGAATAATTATTCAATTCAATCGAAATAAGCACCATTTGAATCAATGCACTTTTGCCAACGTAACAACTGTCGAATAATTTTGTCAGCATAAAAATTGTGAGTCGATACTCGATGAATTCGACGAAGGCCGTTTATGCCTGGTCCTGATTGGCGAAGGGTCTGCCGGTGCTTGAAAAGATGGTAGTCAGTTGGAGAGATGTCTGCGTAGTGAGGTGGGAAAGGCAGAACTTTGACCATAAAATTATTTAATTTTCGGACGATGATTTGTGAAACGTATGGACGTAAGTTGTCGTGGATCGGAACTCGTTTGTTTGCCATGGTCGGCTGCTGATGATGTTATTTTCGATACAATTCGTAGATTTTCTCACGATGGGAAATTGCTGTGATGGTTTGGCCCGCTTGCAGAAAGTTATTAGTGCACCACGCCAGCCACACACCACCATACAGAAACCAGAGTCTTTTATGGTGAGTTTTCATCTTTAGGAAGTGTCTAGGTAGCTCATCAGTGTCCAACCACTGTCCCAAACGTCTCTTGTTGTCGCAGTGTTGAGTGATCATAGGGTCCGAGAATCATGTGCCCTGAGCAAGCGCAATGAGCCAAGAATGGAAGCCTTCTGCTTATGAGTAGAGAGGACATCATTCCACCAAGGACTCCAATAATCAGAACAACCATCTTGACAGAGTGATCTGGATAGAGTCTGCGAAGTTCGAAGAGAAAATCTCGATATTTTATCCGTTTTTCCTCCTCTTTTCTGACGATATCCTTCTCGCCAGGAGCTGAAAACTCCACGACAAATATCGTTTTGCTCTGGTGGTCGAGATGGACCACATCAGATAAAAAATGAACAGAATTGAAACAGATAAAACTTTTGAAACAATCTAATATTATTTTATTGACCTAAAAATGATGTGTTTGTTTGTGTTCGACATTCTAATCAAATATTTTCACATCAAATTCAAAAATTCCACTACAAATAGTTCAGTTTTCGATACTGAACGAGATGATCTGTTTCCACACGTGAATGAAGATATTTATAACAAATAATACATCCACTTATTTTGTATTTCGTGCTCAAACAAAAAAATTGATTCATTTTATTTCTGACGCTATATTGAGAAATGTATAATCAATTTAATGTCAATGTAAATTACACATAATTTGTTTCCAGAATGTTCGATTAAAGCTGTGGAAGTGAAAAACGAATAACGCTGTTGACTTTAGTAAAAGTGTGAGATAATTAAACTTTGAAATCGGTTCGCGAATGGAGTGAATGAGACAAATTGCGAAAAACCGTGACGCAATAAAGTGAAATAAGATTGATTAAGATGAGTATGGTAAGGAATTGAGGAAAATCTGATTCCACATTCCGTTTGATTTTATGTACATTTTATATACATTTTATGTATATTACAATTTGCAACGGGATTATCTTAAATGTGTTTTTTGAATAATGCAGCTATTTCCAAAATATGATATAAATTCTTGTTCTCGCTCATCAGCCATTGTCAAGAAGTAAATAGTGTAATCAAGCAAATTTTCCCGCGCTAAATAACAAGGAATATTTTCATAATAAAATATCTGCATAATGAAAGAAGAAAGTAATACAAATCATGAAATTATGGAACAACAAAAATTAATTGGCGCTCCGGGGTGACTTCATTGATTCCAGTGGCGTATTTGCTTTTTCAGCTGCAGGAAAAACCTGCAGCACCACATCATCTGAAGATCTTGATCTGTCAATGTCCTATCTTTCATAAAACGGAATATAGGGTGTCTCCAGAGGCTCCAATAAATTCAAAACATCGCCAGAACACTTCGTGACACGACTATCGTCAAACTTGAGCCAATCCGTTTTGTCTTTGACTAATGCGTAATAACGACCAGATTCGACGTTAGAACCACAGTGAACAATGACTGCATAAATATGATAATAGTGGTCCGCTAGATTGAAGTGAAGATCATCAGGGTTGTTATTAAATTGACTGATGCCTCATTTACTACAAAGTAAACAACTGATGATTTTTCCAAAAAAAGATTTACAAACACACGACGAGATAGACTGTATGGAATCATTCATTCCAGAGCGGTCAGGAGTATTGATTCTGCTATTTTTTGCTCACGAAGAGTATTCAACTAGAACCCTAAGAATTCGGAGCAATCCTCTTGTTGTCCTAACGAGTATCTAGTGGACTTCAAAGACTCCAAGAAATCGGTTGGTGGGAAAGATGATACATTCTTACGAAACTGCAACTGCATGAACAATTGTTTGATTTTGATGAATAAGTAGGAAACATTCTCGTTCATCATTAAAACGTTTCTGAAATTCTTCGTGTGAAATGCTATTCATGTAGCAAGTGTTTCCTAAATTATCTAATCCACTTTTTTTCTCTCAAGATTTTCAGGACAACTGTCTACTGATTCCTAAGGAAGAACATGTTTCACAGAATCTGTATCAGAAATATTCCTCAAGCTACAATATAAATAATTATAAATGGGATAAACATCAAACTTAAATTTTTTTTTGTTGGTCATGGCCTTCAATTTTTTATGCAGTGTACTGCGTTCGTTGCCTTCAGGCATACCAGGCAGACCATGGCCAAGAAACTCGAAAAATTCATTTGACATTTAACTTCGACGGTGAAAGTGTTCATTCTATAGTCTAGATGTTTTCTCATACATTCGAAAAAAAGAGAAAGAGAAATAGATTGTTTGCTCAACTGATGATATTTTAATAAACGTTTCAGATCGTTGTTCATTTTATATCTATCAATTATAATGATTAATTTTCGATGAAGGACTACCAAAGAAACTCATAAACGTACTTAATTTTTTCAGTTTTGTTCCTAGAAACTGTAGTCAGTTGAAACTTCTAGATAAAATGAATGTCACAATAACCTGTTAATCACCTTGGCAACTATAATGGCAATCAGATTAATTAATATCATATTGTTGTATTTATTTTATTTTTAATGTCATATATATAATATATTTTCGAAATGCATCAATAAAACTTCCACATATATATGATTAATCTTGATCTCTTTCGTTTATTTTGACCATATATTCAGGAATGCGAGAATGGAAAATGGTCATCTCACTTCTATTTGAGAGGAAAGTTTTTGTCAAGATTATCGTTTTGACAAATTGAAAAAGAATGGAATGAAAACTTTCTATGTTTTTTACCACTTTGATTTGTAACTAACGCAGTTTCGCAGTTTCGAACATTTCAAACTCATTTCAAAGTTTGAAAATGTCCGTAAAGGACGAAACTGCAGTTTTTTTTCTTCATTATGATTTCCTACCTAACGGCTACATCCATCAGTATATTCATTGAATCATGAATCACAAAAAAACATTTTGGCTTTCAATAATGTATAACTGACTGTTTTCTGTATATACATCTCTGCTAATAGATCTGTAACATTCAAAATAGAAATTCCTGTTCCAGATTTCACCAGCGTCAACAGTTTTCCAGAAGACATGAAATTCACTCCACAGACGTTCTATAATTTAACCCCTCCGCCTCCGCCATCTTCTCGACCACCTGCATATGACGTTCAAAATGGAACCGTTGTCCAGAATGGGGCCATTCCATCAGAAAACTACTACGCAGCTACTGACATCATCAAGGTATTCACACAAAAATAAACAAGATAAATACATACCTTTGTTGTTTTTTTCCAAGATATCAAGATCCAACTGTATCGAATAAGAAAACTATCATTAAACCTCATAGAAATAGATATTATTATGGAACTATCAGACCGGCGAACTTTTTGAATGTTGTGTTGAGTTATTAGCTGAGTTATTAACTTATTCATATTGTGTTTATGAAGCATACAATCAGATAATACTCACACGAACAGTATTGCCAGAGTTTCATGCTCGGCAGAAGATTTTGTGCCAGACAAATAGTAGATTGATACGAACAAAATGTATACATAGTGATTTTCATTATCCACAGTCATTTAGGAATAATTATAGAAAAACATAAAAGTACCTCCAGGAATTCGTCATTTTTAGTGCAAAGTTTTTCGAGTCTCCTTAATTTAATCAGAAAATGACTCTAGTTTGCTTTGTCGGGAGGTAAATGGAAAACTGATTCGTTAAACGAGTTTTTTCATTTTCAGTGTATCACTTTTTCTGTGTGTTGTATCAAATTTGTATTTAGTACAATTATATTTGAGCTAAGAATTCGGTAAGTGGGTTTCATATCCAATATTTTCATTAATTCATGGGAAAAACGTATTTTTTTGAAAATGATAGTAAACCAAATTCACAACAAAACATCTCAACATTTACTGATTTATTCAAATGATAACAATAACTATTATATCATAAATGAGAAACAAACTCGTTCATTGCCACTTATTCAGTCATCAAGCGATTTTCAGAAAACCTCTTCAGACCTAAAAATGATTCAAAAAGTTGGGACAAGAACTCTTAGCGAGTTGAAATCCGTTTACCAAAATGTATAGACTGAAGTTTCAGAGACAACTTTGCTCCTGTGGCTCCATGAGAACAAGATAATACACGGTATCTTCTTCAATAACATAAAACCAAGCGTCGACGCCTAGCACTTCTGGCGTTGCCTTTGAACGGAAACAGCACAGTATTGGCCTTGCCCGTACTGTTCCCGTCCTAGCATGTGTCTATCTGTCGCCTGCCTTAGTATGCGCCCCTTCATAAGAAACTATACAAAGAGAAAATGAACATCATGGCATGTTCCCGTCCTGTGCCGTCCTATCGCAGTGTGCGTAGACTTTTACAGGAAAATATGTAAAGAACTATGGTTGCATCGTTTTTCTTTGTTATTTTTGAAGTGAGTCCTCTATCAATTCCTCAACCATAGAACAGAACTAATAGCAACCTGCTTGAGTGAGTTCGTGAGCTTTGTAGTCAGAAAATGTTTTGAAGTTCATATTCCCACTGAAACTTACAATTGAATATATCCTAGCAACAAGCCTGACTGTCGTTCACATCAGTAGATAAAATTAAAATATTCAATTTTATTCGTGGTAGTATCTTTGTTTCGAAAGTCTCAATAATAAACTGCCAAACCCTTGATATATAGTGAAATTCTTTGATGTTTGAACGACAATCTTACAGTGTTGAGTTGATTTCATTCAATTCCAATTTTCATCTGCAACTTCTGAAATGAAGACATAACATTCTTGTCACCACTCCAAATTATATAATTTTATCTCTGGTTATTGTTAGCATATTATATTTCAGATGCTTTGATCCACTCTCTCATCACCTGTGTTATAAATATATCATATCAGAGTAAAACTATGTCATCTGTGGTGTTTGTAACCCCCTTTTCATGCCACCCTACCTGCAGGCCTACCCAAAACTTAGAATACAAAAAGAGGTCTTTAACAATGTTTTATCGTTTTTTCTGATCGTTATTATGGAATGGATTTATGAAGAGTACTCATAACATAAGCCATTGACTTCAAATTATGATGATGAATTTGATAGTTCTTTACTTCAACATCAAACCAATAGTTCACTGATTATCAAACTACTAGACAAACAATTTATCAATACGTTCCGGTACTGCTGATGACTAATGGTTTCAAAATCATCAATTACGTTTTTATATTCACATATAGGTTGATCTATATTGGTTCCATGTCTTTTATTACACACATTTTTTTATTATAGTTCTGAATGAAAATAGCAGGTCATTCAAAAAAGTGTTCAGTACATGCTTGAGGAAGTTTATCCGACTCGAAATATTGTAATTTCAAGCACATCCGATATTTCAAAAAGCAAATATTCCTTATGTAGTGCTGCAAATGTAGCTGCAGTAATGGAGCATCCAATTAAATGTAATTGAGTTCAGCTTGTTCCTAGTTTTACAATAATATCGTCTGCACATGCATTTTCGCCTGGCTTCCATCCCCAGAGACTTTATTGGCAGTTCACCGGAGATGAATACAAGTGCAGATTAATTTTTTTCAGTTGAAGCGACTAAAGTGTATGGACCCGCTGTACGACAGTTTGACTTTTTCATGGAGATATAATGATCATATACGAAGCTAGTTCCGGCCTTATTTTGTGTGACGCCGTATCGATATGGGTGATTTAGGTCACTTTTTCACTTAGGTCACTGTCATTTAATATAAAAGTGATGAGTGATCAGAAAGTACTTCGACGAATCTAACCTTCTTGTTTTCATTATTATATTTTTTCTTCCATACTCTGTTACTTCTAACATAGGACAACGATAAAAAAACATTTTTACTTAAAACACCTTATTTTTCCGTTTTTTAGGGTGCTAAATCCAAATATGACACTTATTAAGCTGTATCATCTACCATTTTTTCACATTTGCACATCAATATATATTTTTTTGTTTTTTATGGTGCTAAATCCAAATATGACACTTATTAAGCTGTATCATCTACCATTTTTTCACATTTGCACATCAATATAATACATTTTTTGATTTATTACAGAATTTAACAGCTTTTATATACTACAAATAAAATTGTGCTGTATGTAGAAGAGTTGGCAGCACTGCTGAAACACAATAACTGTACAGAAAAAGGGAATCATGTTGTTTTGTTCACAGCTGATGTTTTTTTACTGCCAACCTAACCTTACTTTCTGGTTTCCAGTAAATGTGCTCATTAAAATGTCTAATCGCGGTTGTAAGAACTCTGCTGACAGTTTTTCTTATATTTGTGGTGAGTTTGTTATTAAAAAATATCAAAGGAACATTACAGACTTTGTGAAGAAGGTTTATTTCTCATATTTTGGAATTAAACTTGGTGATCAGGATAAATCTTGTGCCCCGCATAAGGTATGTTATGTTTGTGTTGAAGATCTTAGAAAATGGTCAGAAAAGGAGAAGAAAGCCTTTAAGTACACTGTTTCTATGGTATGGAGGGAACCTAGAAACCACACTGATGATTGCTACTTTTATAGTATTCATATTACTGGCCATAACTCGAAAAACAAGAAGGTAATAAGCTACCCTAACCTAATTTCCGCCATCCAACCAATAGGGCACGATGTAGATTTGCTGGTCACAGAACCTCCAGATGATTTGAATTCTGTTCAAACTGAAATGTTATCTGATGTACTGTCAGATATAGATGAGCAAGATGATGAAGAGTTCCAATGTGTTACAGCAAATATAGAGCCTAAACTGTTTACTCAGATTGAGTTTAACGACTTAGTTAGGGATCTTGGGTTAACAAAAGAAAAAGCTGAATTGATTGGTTCCAGACTGAAAGAAAAGAACTTGTTGGCAGTTGGAATTAGCATATATGTGTATAGGAAGAGAGAGCAGAAGTTTTCGAAATTTTGTAAACTAGAAGGTGATTTAGTGTACTGCTCAGACATTCCAGGTCTGATCAAAGAGTTTGGTATTGAATACAAAAAAGAAGACTGAAGGTTGTTTATTGATTCTTTCAAAACTAGTTCAAAAGCTGTTTTATTACACAATAGTAACACTTATGCATCTATACCTGTTGGCCATTCTGTACATATGAAAGAGACCTATGAAAACCTAGAAGTAGTGTTGAATAAAATTGGATATTCGGCTCATGGTTGGATGATATGTGGTGATTCGATAGTAACATGCATGCTTCTTGGTCAGCAAGGCGGTTTTACCAAATTTCCATGTTTTTTGTGTGAATGGGACAGTAGAGCAAGGAATCAATATTGGTGCAGAAAAAAACTGGCCTGTGAGGGAGTGTTCAAAACCCGGTGAGAAGAACATTCTCCGCAAAAAACCTTGTAAATCCTAAAAACATTTTCTTACCACCTCTACATATAAAGTTAGGCCTCATGAAACAGTTTGTAAAGGCATTGTGTAAAGGCATTGCCTGAAGATGGACCTTGTTTCAAGTATCTCTGTCAGAAATTTCCAAACTTTTCAGAGGCTAAACTCAAAGAAGGCGTCTTTGTAGGACCCGACATTCGAAAAATAATGCTCGACGTAAATTTTGAAACCACAATAATCATACATGAGAAAGAAGCATGGATATCATTCAAGCAATTTGTTACAAAATGCAAAAAACCCAGAATGTCGTACCACTAGGATGCTTGATGAGCCTGAAAGTCCACTTCTTGAACAGTCATCTTGATTACTTCCCGGAAAATTTGTGAGATGTTAGGAAGGAGCAGGGTGAGCGTTTTCACCAAGATATTAAATTGATAGAAAAACGTTACCAGGGCCGCTGGAACATCAACATGATGGGATACTACTGTTGGTCACTTCACCGTGAAGCTCAACAAGCGACTCATCGCAGGAAAAGCTACACAAGAAACTTCAAAGGAAAAAGAGAAAGGAAGTATAAACCAATTCCATCTGACTAGTGAAGCCTACACTGTATCATTAATTCAAGTAACCTACTGTAAATAAAAACCATGGTAGTGATTTAACATAGTATTCCATTAATTTTACCATATACCGTATCGATTTTAAATTATATAATAAAGTCAATTTTTCAAAATCTATGGGTGATACAAATAAACTTAGATCAGATTTGCCTTCAGCACACAGAAATCTATAAAAATCAGCTATTAAAGTAAACAACGTTTTCGAAAACATTTTTTATTGGCCTGTGAATTGACATGTTGGTGATTTCAATGTCACAAAAAGTGACTGAATAAACTCTTACTTCGGGGTTT